GGAGGAGCTGCCGGCGCTGTCAGGCGGCCCGGGCAAGCGGGGAGACGCGCTCTCGCATTTTAAGGGTAAAAACAGAAGGCGCCGACGAATCACCCCCTGTTAAGGTGACTGATGATAAAGCGTTACTAGTGTTCAGACTTAAAACAATTCATTACCAATTTTCCTGTCTGAGGCTGAAGCTCTAGTAAATAATAAATCAGCTAAACAAAAGCCGACTTTAATTTATTGCTCGAGCGCTAATTAGAAACATCATTTGAGCAATAAACTTAAACACTTCCAGCAAATAATACACGTGAAACCCGTCTCTCCTGTGTCTGGGCGTTTGTGGCCGCACTGCATTAAGACCAGCTTCATGTCTGGCGGAATTTGCTCTTGCCGGGATGAATAATTGAAGGGGGAACAGTATCCGAGGAAGCTATAATTGAAGAGCCCTTGTCACCTCTGCTTTTATGTATGTTAGTATAGAAGTCCATCAGCAGCTCCTTGATGGTGTATAAAACGAAGTGGCAGCCCCTCCAGCAGCGGGAGATACTGTATTCTATTAAAAAGACCGTATGTGCGTGTGTCGGAGAGAAACTCTCAAGGCTAAAAGCCACTTGAAGTCTTCAGACCGATTGATCTGTATTCTCTCGTTATAATCCGTCTCATCATACTTGAGTTAATGAGGCAGGGGCGGGGGTGATCTGATGGTCCTTGACAAATTCATTAGGGAGGCTGCGGGACATTTTATTTGACTGTTAAACATCGTGTTTGTTTGGTTTAAGCAGTGCCAACATCAGCATGCTGCTGCCTGGAGCAATAGTGTTTTGCTAGCAAGGGCTTCTGTAAAAGGATCCTGGAAAGGGGACTTTGTGTGAAGTGTGTTTGCTCTTTCCTTAGCTCCTCCTGCCCCCTCCCTCTCGGTACCAGAGGGAGCTCGTTCTGGTGTAAATCCAGTCGTGTAAATGACGTGCAACAGTATTCTCTTCACGCTGAGGAAGGCAAAGTGCTAGCAAGCCGCTGATGTTAAACGTGCAAAGACTTTTTTAGAGATTAGGCTGAGAATACTGTGCTTTTTTTCTTAATGCTTTTTTACGAAGCAGAGAGAAACCTGGAGAGAAAACCAGAGTTTTAGCAAGAGGACTCTCAACCACACAAGCTTCTTACTGGATTGTGATGTAACCAACTTGTTTTTGCTTGGCTAACTAGTTTACTAAAATAGCATAGTCTACGTATTTCAGAGCCTGTTTATTCTAAACAATGTATTTAAAATATTCCATAACATGCTACTGATAGAGCGTTTAATTTGTAAGCGATGAAATTGATTTCAGACTGCTAAAAGACTCCTGACAAATCTACCCTTCTTTTTTTTTTCCCTCTCCGATCCTAAAAGGGATAATAAGTATTTTTATGAGTAGTATGTGGGATATGTACGTGCACACATATGCTCTTTTCGTGGCATCTTTGTAGACGAGAACCAGCTAGTGTTCCATTATTTCGTAGCAGTTGGTTTCCTTTCTATCCTTTCATTTAAGGGAAACAGTTTTTTGGAAAACTGAATAATGAAGCTGCTTGTGAAACCTAATATCATAATATTTTTTTCCTGGAGATCAGTCTTCAAACATTCTCAGCTTTAAGTGCTTTGTAGAACTCTGCTTCCATTTATAGAAGAACAGTATGGGAAAAGAACTAGTGCCCTTTGCCTGTCATTTTCATACATTCCTGCACTGCTGATGGAGCTTGAACTGCTGCAGGGAATGTATGGATTTGAAAAGAAATGACTCAGTAATGCATGTTGTGTTTCTCAACAGCAAAATCGGATTAATAGTTATAGTAAATGCTGCTGTGGGTTTGACAGTTAAAATTCTGTTTACATTCAATACTATATATACAGCGTGTACCATTTCTTTAAAGTCATAGCTTGGCTTTACTATCTGCCAATCTATTGCAAGGACTATGTTTAGAAAGTTAGCTGACTGCGCACACTGAGAGAGAAAAGAAGTTTCCATTTCTACAGATATCGCTAATGTATCTCAACAGTTAAGAGTATTACAGAAATCTTGTATTTTACTGCAAAGATTGAACACTATGTTAACAAAATAATTTATGCATGATTCTAAGTCTCCTCTAGTTCTGTTTCTGGGGTGGGAAAGGGGAGGGTTCCAACTGTGCCTTTAGGTAACTTGTTTGTCCTTTCTTATTCAGTCTTAAAACACAAATACGTTCATATTCTG